TCGAACTTTGAACTTCGAACTTCGAGCTTCGAACTTCGCGGGCCCCCCAGGAAGGTAGAGGGAGGACGAGGGGGAGGGGGGGGGGGGAGGAGAACGGCGGGGAGGAGGGAGGGAGGGGGAAGGGCGAAGGAGGGAGGACGGAGGACGGAACACGGAGCAGGGAAGGAGAAGGGAGGGAGGAGAGAAGACAACGATATTTTCAAATCTCCCACGTTGGACGCCCGAACGGGCCTGCGCCTGGCTTCTCGCCGATACGCGCAGCGCTGACCGCAGCGGCCGCGGCGCGGCCTTCTGTGGCGGCGGCTGCGGCGGCGAGGCGGCCTCAGTGGAGCCGCGGGTCGGCGACCTGAGCGCGGGCGCCGCTGAGTGGGGCCGCGGCGGCGGCTGCGCCCTGGCCCAGGCCTGGGCCCGCAGGAGCCCCTGGTCGTGCCTCTTCTTGCGGTCCGGGCACCCGCTCTCGTGGCCGCGCCAGATGCGGCGGCGCGTCGCCAGGAAGTCCAGGAAAGCCTGCGAGCGCTGACTCCGACCCTCCTTCTCGTCCTCCCCGTTCTCGTGTCCTCCCTCCTCCCTCCCTCCTCCTCCTCCTCCTCCTCCTCCTCCTCCTCCTCCTCCTCCTCCTCTCCTCATCCACCTCCTCTCCCTCCAGCTCTGGGGGGGGAGGGCGCCCTTGTCGCGCCGACTGGCTCATCGCCGCTTGACCCCCTTCCCGGCTTGTCGCCGAACGCCCCCCCGCCTGCGCGTCGTGGCCCGTGCAGCGCCTGAAAAGGGCCGCGCACGTCACGGGGCCCCTGTGGAACGACTGGTTGCAGTGAACCAGCACGTCCCCTCCGCGGCGGAGAACCTCGAGGATCCCCGGCGTCTCCCTGTCGAGCACGCGGTTGTTCGCGAGCTCGTTGCCGCGGGCGTCCACCACGACCCACTGACCCACCTGGCTTTTCGCCGTGCGTGGGTAGTGGTAGGGCTGCCTGTCGTGCGTGGCGTTGACGACCGCCTGCACGTTGCTGAGCTCCCCGTCCGACCAGTAGCTCTCCGCCTCCAACTGGCACCGCTCCGCCAGGATGAAGGAGCCCAGCAGGGTGCTGGCGCCGCCCAGGCACTGAGCGGGCACCACAGTGGGCGCCTGACGCCCGAGGCGCTGCATGGCCCGAACTTGCTTTTCGCCGTCTCGCAGCGTCAGGCGCGCCTGCTTGGGCCACAACGGCTAGGGTCGGCCGTCTCCGTTCTCTTCCTCCCGCCCCCCCGCCCGCTCCCATCCCCCCAGGAAGGAGGGGGGAGGAGGGATGGAAGTGAAAGCCCTGCCGCGGAATGCGGAAAAGAGAGACGACGATGAGAGGAGGAGTACAAGAGCGAGACACGGGGAAGGAACCGATGGTGGTACGAGGAACTGAAGGAGGAACAATGAAGGGAACAGAAGAGGGAGGGAGAGACGGGAGGAGAAGGATATCAGCGAGAACAGAATGAGGGAGGGGGAGAGAATGGTGAACAGGGAGGGAGGAAGGAGGAGGGGGGGGAGGAGGGAGGGAGGGAGGAGACAGGAGAGGGAGGAGGGAGGAGAAGGGACTGACAGAGAGAGGGAGGGAGGAGGGAGGGAGGAGGAGGGAGGAGGGAGGGAGCAGGGATGGGGGGGGAAGGAGGAGGGAGGGAGGGAGGAGGGAGGGAGGGAGGAGGGAGGGAGGGAGGAGGAAGGAGGAGGGAGCAGGGAGGAGGGAGGCAGGAGGAGGAAGGAGGGAGGGAGGGAGGAGGGAGGGAGGGAGGAGAAGGGACTCACTGAGGGCGGAGGTCGGACATCCTACAATACTGTCACGCGACAACGCCTATCGACACTCCTGGAATCCAGCCATGGCTCGGGCGCTAGCTGCGCGCCCACGCATCCATATCGCGCGCGGCTGTAATTGCAACATGTATCCACTAACGTGATAAAACGCAGGTAAACAATCAGTGGCTCTACATAACATGTCTCCATGGGCGACACTCCACCCCTGGGTACGGATTACTGGCCTCATTTGCCTGGGTACGTTTTACTGGTCTGATGTTGCCTCGCTAGCCATGCGCGAAGGTATGCAAGCGCCGTGGACCGTGGACGCCCATCTCCAAGCTTGCCCAGCGGGGCGCAGCCAGCGAAAGTGGCCAAGGACGGACCGAGGAGGCAACGATGCCAGGGGTACACGTGGGACAACTGCCCATCCTTGCGATGCGGGCCGACTGTACGGACGCCCCGGCTTCCCGACCGGTGCAGCGCCAAATCGCCCACACTGGTCGGGACGACGTGGCACGACACCGGAGGCTGGGGCGTCTGCACCGGGAAGCTGGGGCGCCTATACGCCGTGTCGTGCAGGTCGGAAAGCTGGGCGGGCCGCTCGCCCGACCTCTGCGACCTCTACGATCGGCGACCTGTGCGCCGCCAAACTGCCGAAGCACCGAAGCCCCCTCGCCGAACTCACCGGCTCCTCGGCCGGCCAGCCGGCGTGGCGGACAGCACCGGGCCCCTCCGAGCTCGGCGTGGTGTACTGCCGCGGCGACACGTAAAGACGAAACTATTAACTTTTTGTTGGGATTCGTCGTGCGTCTTCCGTCTTTCTAACTAGTAACTTTCGGTTGGGCTGGTTCGTCTTCTTGTGGATTCGTCTTCTTGTGGGTTCGTCTTCTTGTGGATTCGTCTTCCGCAGCTTCCCGACATGTGCGACGCCGAATCGCCCACACACCGAACTCGGGGATCTTCGGACCCGGGCCAATCCAGACCCGGGTCACTCAGGCCTTGCAGAATCCTGCAGATCCTGCAAGATCCTGCACCTAAGCCCGGGCCAGCGCGAAGGATCCTGCAGGATCCTGCAGGATCCTTCACCCAAACCCGGGTCAATGCGACTCTGGCCCTGCAGGATCCTGCAAAATCGGGCTCTCTGGCTGACCCCCGTTTGCATTGACCCCTGTCTCAAGGCTCCCGACGAACCCCCTCGCCGGACTCGCCGGCTCCCCGGTCGGCCGGTGCAACACCGAGTCCCTCCGAGCTGCTGGATCCCTGCGGCGGCCGGGCTCGGAAGGGGGCCCTGGTGGAAGAGCATAAGCCAACACGTACTTCTGCGATGCACATGAACGCATACTCATCTATCTTCTTGTTCGCTTACAGGTCTACATGTATATGTACATATATACATATATCTATGTGCACAGATGTACATATACATATATCTATATACATATATACATATATCTATATACATATATCTACGTGCATGTATATGTACATGTATACATATATACATATATACATATATCTATCGGAGGCCCTCCCTCCCCTCTGGCGCGCGGGCCGCGCCAAGGCAGGCGCCGCGAGGCGCCGCCAGGGGGGGGGGGGGGGCCACGCGCCGACACGAGCCATCTGCGTGGAGCTCCGGACGTTCGTGCTTGGGCGCTTGACGACGACGGCGGCGGCGGCGAAGACGACGACGACGCCGACGTCGACGACGACGAAGACGACGACGTGACGACGACGACGACGACGCCGGCGCCGGCGACGACGAAGACGACGACGACGACGACGACGACGACGACGACGACGACGACGACGACGTCGCCAACGAAGGCGACGACGAGGGCCGTGGCTCTCTTCTTCGGCCAGGCTCGCCTGCACGCGGCTCTGGGCGGGAGTGCCCTCGGACGCGCGCCTCTCGGGAGGCCCGCGGGGGGCCAGGTCCGAGCACGCAGATTACAGCCGGAGGAGGAGGAGGGGGGGGAGGAGGAGGAGGAGGAGGAGGAGGAGGAGGAGGAGGAGGAGGAGGAGGAGGAAAGGAGGAGGAGGAGGGAGGGAGGAGGAGGAGGAGGAGGAGGAGGAGGAGGAGGAGGAGGAGGAGGAGGAGGAGGAGGAGGAGGGGGTGGACAGGCCCCCCTGAGGCAAAAAACGTGGTTTGGCGAAGACGACCTCGGGCCGAAACCTGGCGGGCGCCAGCCTGGAGAATGACGGCTGCGGCGCCCTCTCGAGAACCGAAAACGGACAAGTCACGAATCGACGTGTCAGGGTGGGGGTCCTGTCCACTCACGAATCATAAGGATGCGCGAGAAGGATGCAAAGGGCCTTTGACGCTCCCTTCGAGGCTTTTTCTCAGCGGGGCGCGGCCAACGAAAGTGGCCAAGTTCGGACCGAGGAGGCAAGGATGCAAGGGTACCCTTGGGAAGGCTGCCCATCCTTACCATGCGGGTTGACAGTAATGCTGAGGCCATCCCTGGGGGTCCGCACTCAAGGTCACATCGGCAAACGGTCACAATTGCAATTACAGCAAATTCGCGTCGTGACCAAGCCTGTGACACCGCGTGGGATCGTTCAACCTTGAACCGTGGGTTGGCTGTTCGATCGCCAGCCAGATCCCCGAAGTCGTGATTTTGTTCACGTCGAGCCCCAGAGGTCTGGAGCCTTTCCCTGGGACCAGTTTTTCATCCTGACTCGTGTTTTGACGGTCCCGAGGCCCGGCGATGACTTCACAACGCGACGGGGTCTGGGGATCGCTCCAGATTGGGTCGATTCTGCGCAACTGGCGGTGTTCAACCTGGAACTCCGACACGGGTTCGCAGCGGCGTCAGCACGGCGTACACGACTCGAGAAGGGGGATCGACTGCAGACTTGATGCACTCCCAGAATTCAGCTTCCCTTCGAGTCCACAGGACGACGCGTAGCACGTCTGCAGGCCAACGGGACAATCTTTCTATACGTTCCGTAGATTCGCCTGACATGTCAATTTTGGAACAAGACTCGCCCGGGATGCCGATTCTGCGTGGGGTGAATTCAGTCTGTAGTCGATCCCCTACAGTCGGGGCGATGACCTAAGGAACCCTGAATAGGAACGGGGCCCCTTTCTCCCATAAGTTGAACTTCGACTTCCCATGGAGAACTTCCGGAAAAGAGAAGGCACACTGTAGAACAGTCAAGGAACACCGAGCTCCTCCCCCACGAAAAGGGTTCCCTCTGCAGGGCCCCGGCTGTACTCGAACGACTGGGGCCCAGCAGGGTCCTCCCCCTCCTCTGCGGCGGCGGGGGACCGCCGCCGCCTGCTGGCGGCGCGCAGTGGGGGGGGGGGGGATGGGGGGAGAGCTTCTTAGAAGGAGGCTGCCTCTCAGCAGGCGCCGGCCTTACATTTGTAGACAGGGCCCGCGCCCTCTGAGAAGCAGGGGCGCTTCTAGGAAGCCTTCCCCCTCCCCCTACCCCCCTCTGCGCGCCGCCAAGCCTGCGCTGGCCCATGGAGGAGATGGCCTCGTCCGCGGCGCTGCCGCCCCAGTGGAACACGGACCCGAGGCCTCTGCGGCGGGGGGGCGGCAAGGGCGGCGGCCGCGCCCCCGCGGAGGCGCCGAGGGCGGCGGCGCCGACGACGGCGACGACGAGGACGACGACGGCGAGGACGAGGACGAGGACGACGACGACGAGGACGACGACGACGACGGTGATGACGACGACGAGGACAACGACGAGGACGACGACGAGGACGACGAGGACGAGGACGACGAGCGGGGTAGCAGCGCCGGCGACGACAACGAGGACGAGGACGAGGAGGACGAAGACGAGGACGCGGACGACGGCGAGGGCGTCGACGACGGCGGCGGCGTCGGCGGCTGCGGCGGCTGCGGCGGTGTTGGCGGGGCGTCGAGGACGACGGCAGCCCGGGACATGCGCGCTGCGCGGGCCGCGGCCGCCCGTCGCTGGCGTCGCGCAGAAGGAAGAGGCAATGGGGAGGGGGGGAAGTCTGGGGGTAGTAAATGGGTGTGGTGCAAAGGGGTGTAGTGCCAATGCTGGATCTGGCGAGCCTATCTATCGTAGATAACATCGCCATCTCCACGATCGGCGCCACACCCCTTTATGCCACACCCCTTTCCGACCTCCAGAGGACAGCTTCTTGGACGGAGGCTGCTTCTTAGAAGGCGCCAGCCTCACATCTGCCCGCGCCTTCCAATTGGGAGCAGTGTCCTGCCAAGAGGCCTTCCCCCCTCCCTCTACCCCCACTATGGGTCTTTCGACGCCCCACGGTAATTGGAGACAAACTTGCTGTTCGGCGACCTCATTGACGGGATGGGGTCCCGCCACCACTGGGCAATAATCATTTCTCCGCGGCAGCCGCCGCACAAAAAGGAGGATGAGGAGGGGGAGGAGGAGGGGGAGGGGGGGTGACAAGCTATGTGCGCTCGCGTCATATCTGACGTCCTACCCCTCCCTCCCATCCCTTACCATGGCGCTGATTTTCTCTATCCGCGGACGCGTGTCGTAGCGGACCTGTGGCTCCGCGCGCGCGTGCGTAGTGGGTGGTGGTGCGCGTGCGTGCGTGCGTGTGTGCGTGGTTGTGGTTATGGTTGTGGTTGTGGTGGTGGTTGTGGTTGTGGTGGTGGTGGTGGTGGTGGTTGGTTGTGGTGGTGGTGGTGGTGTGGTGGTGGTGGGTGTGTGTGTGTGTGTGTGTGTGCGTGTGTGCGGTTGTGCTGTGGTGTGATGACGTGTGTGGCGTCTTGTGTTTTGGTGGTGGGCCAGGTGCGTGCTGCGTGATGGCGGTGGTGGTGGTGCTGTGGGTTTGTGTGTTGGCGTGTATGTGTGTGTTGTGTTTGTGTGGTGTGTGGGTGTGTGTGTGTGTGTTTGGGTGTGTGTGTGTGTGTGTGGTGTGTGTGTGTGTGTGTGTGCGTGCGTGTGTCTGTGTGCGCGCGCGCGTGTGATGTGGTGTGACGCGGTGTAGCGTGGTGGTGGTGGGTGGGGTAGTGGGTGGTGGTGGCGGTGCGCGTGCGTGCGTGCGTGCGTGCGTACGTTGGTGGGTGGAAGTGGCGGTGGGCGGGGCGGGGCGCGGTGCGGTGGTGGCGGGCGGATGGGCGCGCGAGAAAGAGGCCCGCGCTGGGGCGAGAACGCCATCATGAATGACGGGGGCAAAACACCGATCCGAAAATGAGACCCACGCTGCAGCGGGAGCACGATTCGGAACGAGCGGGGCCCGAAAATGAGGCCGGCGCCTCAGCGAGAGCAGCATTTTGGAACAAATGCGAGCGAAAACCCAACTCCGGGGAAACCTGTGTAAAAAACAATACGCGGGGGGGGGGTCAGCTACTCCTATTCCGTCATCAGGGGAATAGGGAGAGTAGTATTCATATTGAATAATTGTGGAGGACGAGGAGGAGCAGCAGGAGGAGGGGCGAGTTGGTTCCGCGCCGAGAGAAACAGGGTGGGTTAAAACTAATGGTCTTCAGAGGTTACGCCCTCTTTCGGGGAGACGTAAGACTCGGGTTCGGAAGACTCGGGTTGGCCTGACGGGGCCATCATGACAATGACGGGACCCGGTTCAAAACCTGACGCGACCTCCCGCTGCAGACATCCCACGAGAACTGGACCGTGAAAATCCAGGACGCGCTCGTCAAATCGGCTACACGCAAGAGTGACCTTGGGTCAGAGTGCCCTCTGGTGCGCGGCTTTTTGGGGGAGGCAGGTGGGGCCGAACACGAGCGCGCAGGACGCGACTGAGGCATCGCGCTCGGCGATCGGGGGAACCCAGTGGGCCCGCACCGAAGGTCCCTCCGGCGAAAGGCCACTCTTACTTTTTTTGATTCGCGGCCCGCAAGGAAAAGTCCAGAGGGCGGTGTGAACGAGGCTGGGGCACAACGCACGATAATTAGCGCGAGAACGCGCGGAATGCACAAAAACCACTCTTACGCGGAGCCGATCAAAACACGTTGGCTAACCCGAGTCCCGGCGTACCCTCTGTGCGCGGCCGCCCAGGGGGCGCCCCCGCGCCGCCCGCGAGCCCGTGGGCGCTGGGGCAGGCCGAGGGGCAGGGCGCGGCGCGCAGGAAGCGCAGCCGTGACCCGCGCCCCGAGGGGGCGGCGCTGTGGGGCCATCCGGGTGCGGAACCACTGGCGAGGGGTGCGGAACCGTTGGGGAAGCAGGGAAGCGGGCAAGGACATGAGCATGATAACTCGGAGGTCCGCGCGGATTTCTCGGATCGGCGCTGGGGCCCCCTGGCGGCGCCTCCAGCGCCGCGCCCCTGGCGCGCTGTTCCCCGAATCAACAACCACACAGACAACGCGCCTTGTAAGGACGCGCGCCTTCATCTTGGGTGCTCTTGTGTCCTTGCCTCTGCGGCCCGTCCTCTGCCGTTTCCGCTGGTCGCCCGCTGCCCAGCAAAACCCGACTTGGGCCTCCAAGGGTCTTGCAACCTTACCACCTTTCCATAATACACATGATGACTGGAAGGAGCCATTGGGTCAAGGGCAGCAGCAGCAGCAGCAGCAGCAGCAGCAGCAGCAGACGCAGCGGGAGCACAACCCAGGAGGACGAGAAGATCGAGGAGCGGCGGCAGCGGGAGCACGAGCCAAGGAGCGCTGGAGCAGGTGGAAAGGGCTCCCCGGAGGCCGAACACGAGGCCTTCCGAGCCCTCCGAGGGAGGCCCGCCCCCCTCCAACTGCCCCTCGGCGCCGAGCTCGGCGCCAGGCCGTGGGTGCGCGGCCCCGCGGCAGGTCAGCGACCCAGACATCGGGCGTCTCGAACAAATCGAGACCAAGGCTTCTCAGCGTTTTCGGCCTCCATGGAGGCCCTCGCCGGGCCGCGGCCGGGACCGTCAAAAAACGGCTCGGGATGAAGAACCGGTCCCGGGGAAGTGGTCGGGAGGTCGGGGGACGCGTGTCCCGAAAAAGTCGAGACGTCGGATGCCTGGGGATGCGTGGCAATCGAGCCGGCTCGCGCCTTGGAGGGCCACCGGCACATGAAGGCTGCAGGAGGCCCTCCCAAGGCGCGCCGGGCGGCATGCCGCGCGTGCCGCGTGCC